ATAGCACGATGTCGGGGCTGGGGAGATGGGACATTCTGGCTCATATACAGCCTTTGGAATTAGAGAATTATAGTGCAAGTGACCCAATATCAGGTGTAAATGCCCTTTCCTGCATGCTCATCAAGACAGTCTGTTTTTAAGACATCTGGGATGGGGAGCGCATTCTTTCCTGAGGTGGTTCCTTTCATCAGAATTTTGTATCCTGGTGGCTTCTACTTATGGATCTTAATTTCTTCTCTTTGGGAATATACAGAGTAAGTCTAATCTCAAATGTATGAGCTCCTCAAATATTTTGTGAAGCACTGTTTCACCCATCCCACTCCCTTCTGCCATGGGTCTTTCCCAGATTCAATGGCTCTTAGGCACATATCAGTTCATCCTATGACAAAGCACCTCTATTTTCACCACATAGCCCAGTTTTCCTATATCCTTTGTGTACAAACAACACACTGTAGCACAAAGCACATCATGGCAGTCCCAGCCCCTCCCTTGTTTTAGAAATAATACTTCTGTTGATGCAGCCTACACACTCACAAATCCCTCTGGCAGCCTCATTGACTCATGCTGCATTTTCTTTCCCTATGCCTGAACTGCTACTAAGCATCACATTTTCTTTCTGCATTTGTCTGGCTCAAAATAAAACCCTGATACAGAATATTGCTTTATTATTACTACATTTCATCCTATTAGATGCAGTCCATCACTTTAGCTTGTTGTGAGATCTTTTTTCCATTTGCCATCTGCTCTATTTTCCATCCCATCTACATCTCTGTCCTCTGGAAACTAGATCTTCATCATCTGAAAACTTAATTAGCTGGTAAAACTGTGGAATAGATCAGAGCATGCCACCAAAACCTATCCAGATTGTCATGGACTCATTAATTAGCACACTTTAGCATAAGTTTTTACCAAGTTTTATATTGCATGTATCTGTCCATGAGGACTACTCAAGGCACCTTGTCAGATGTAGAAATACCAGGTCTCAATATCTAGAAGTCCCAGAGGTCTCTATTAACAACAACCACCAAAAAAGGGAAATGACATTGTCTGAAAACATAGCTGTCAGGACTGATCTTTTAAACGTTTATACAGTTGCTTTGCCAATCTACTGTCGAGGGATAGATGGCGTTTTTATTCAATCCACTTTTTAGAAAACTAGAATACACATGGAAAATGTGTTTGTGGGCAAGGAGCTGAGTTTTACACCCATCTCCACTGTGACTGCAGAAATGCCTGGGCAGATTTGAGGACTGATGGGACTGGCCTGCTGGATACCTATTTGTGTGAAGCCTTCCCTGGAGACTTACAAGAAGGTCGATGACTTGATAATAATGACTATCCTGCTCTAAAGTTATGACCACAAGTTTCTGTGAAACTGAAGCCTCCTCTTACTCAACAAAGCAATACCGTAGATGGGAAAAGAACACACCCAAGGAGAGAAAGAATCAAGATGCATGAGTTTTGTCTGTAGGTAACAGCTTGACAGGAGGGATAGTTTCTTATTATAGCAATGTGTATATTGCTCAAATTCTCTTTTATTTCCAAAGGCCAAGGGCAGAAACCACAGACCTCAGGTAACCATGGGTTTGAGTCCTGGCTCTACTGCTTAATAACTATGCCGTAAAAATCTGTTTTTAAAGGACCATTGCTCGTCCTAATGAGAAAGACTTCCTTATAACTTCTTACAATTAAAAAAAAAATCATGGTCTTGAATCTAGAACTGTCTACAAACTCCTAGTGAACCTATTCTATTTCCTTTTGACATTATACCTCTTTCTTCCACAGCATTTACTTGGGATTATAGAATCAAAATTAAATCCATAGACAATTTTGTTCTTGAGTTATATTCCATTTTAGACTTTTTTCAGTACTTCTCGAATCTATTTTCCCAAGGTCCTTAGCATAGAGATGACCATATCCAGATTTTGCTTTCCTACTAATCACTGCATTTAAGCATTCAAAGTAGTTTTTACTCACTGAAAGTGGCTCTTAGAGTCCAAATTGGGACTCATGTTTTCTTGTTTTGAGACCAGTGACTCCTAAGGTGTTGGTATGTGTGAGAGCTTGCGTTTGTGGTCTTGGAGAAGTGGGGGTTTTATGTGAAGAGATCAGAGAAATAAAGCAAGAGAGTAGAGGAATAACTGACACCCACCCCAACCCTCACCAAACAAGACTGAACCCAATGGACCAGGCAGTCCTATGAGAAAGAGAACCTAACAAAGTCTGTGTGAGATTCTTTGAGTGGAGACATCCAAAAGTCCAGGTGATAAACAGCAGCTCAGAGTGAGGAAGGGACAGTTCCTTCATTTCATTATGGTGCTCTGAGGCCCTCTGAGGGCTCGGGATAGCATAGGGAGGATATCTGTGCCTAGCAGAGCCATCTCCATGGAGAGATCTGCAGCTCAAGAAAATCCTGGGGAAGGAGCAAGAGTAGAAAGATATGAGCAGGTAATTTCCTTTCCTTTGGGGCTCATGGTTTTCCAGGGAAGTACTTATCTCGGTACAATATAATTATGCTCTGCCTCTTGGTCTAGCTGACTGGATTCTTTGAATTAGGGTTTAACCTCATCTTGGATCCCTGTCATGGGTCCCTTGTCCTCATTTGGTAATGCCCATGAGATCACATATACCCTGCTGTGCTATGAAAACGTGTTATTACCCAATTTTCAAGCATTGTTATATAGCCACACCTCTGTGTTAATCATTGTGTCCCACTACCGTACCAATGTTTCAGCTGTGAAATAGCATGTATCTTTTCTACCAATAGTCAATATTATACTCCTTTAGTACTTTTGGTTGTTTCTATTCCTTTTTTTTTTTTTTTGTAGTCAGTTTTAATTCCTTTTGAAAGTCGAGTTAGTCTTTGGAAAAATAATTTCTTTGATCAAAATTGACAATATACATGGTTTCATCATTCTTAAATGCTAAGTTATTGACCAAAAACTCCTTGACACTATCTACAGACCTAGTTAATTATCCTGTTTTCTTTTCTTTAAAAACCCTAAACTTTAGTGGTAATAGGCAAACATTGACTGTATACTAAGTACTTCAGCCTCCCACGTGGCATCAAAGAGACAAGAGGTATCTCTTAGATTGTTGCTGATGGTACTGCCACATGTTCAGATAGTGTTCAATATCTCTCAGCTTTGTACTTGCCCTTCTATACCCTTCTCTTTACCAAAGTAGTGGAAAGACTACAAAATACATTTTGCAGAATCCCTCACCAACCAGCATCCAATGGGAGACAGAAGATGGAGAGTTGGGGGGGCGGGGAGAAGTCACTTTTACAGTTTCTGCTTGCATCTGTGGTAGTGGTAGCATCAGCAATGACATCAAGGACAGCAGCAGTGGGGACAGTGATGGTGGTGACAGCAACTGTAAATTGGCATTTGGGACAGAACCTAGAAGCTGGGGCACTGGATGTGTGTCAGGTCCAGAAGGTGCTACTCAGGCTGTGTTCTAACAGAAGTAGCCGCAACGACAGTAGTCCAATTATGGACTCTGGGTAAAATTGTTTTTTGTTTGTTTGTTTTGTTTTGTTTGTTTTTTTGAAGATTATATTTATTTATTTGACAGAGAAAGAGAGATCACAAGTAGTCAGAGAAGCAGGCAGAGAGAGAGAGGGGGAAGCAGGCTCCCCACTGAGCAGAGAGCTCGATGCAGAGCTCGATTCCAGGACCCTGAGATCATGACCTGAACTGAAGGCAGAGGCTTAACCCACTGAGCCACCCAGGTGCCCCTCTGGGTAAAATTGTTTTCCCTGTCTCCTCCAGCTCCAGGTCTGACAGTGGTTGAGGGTAATTGCCAATCTTTGCGCAAGTTGACCTTTCTTGTTTTGCTCTTCTGGCTCACTCCAATACTTTCATTACAGATTTCTTCCATTAAATTCCCTCTTCGTCAAACACTAGAATCTGGGTCTATTTTCCTGGATATGCAGGGACTGATGCCCGCTGCTATGAATCAGCCCGTGTGTGTAACAGTCAGCAGATGTGGTGTGCCCTGGAAGCCATTTCATCATATGCTGGGAAAACATTCAAGGAAGACTCAATTGATGACGTCAGCCCTGCTGCAACTGTTCTTTATCTCTCAGTAGAGACTCGCCAAACTCTCAGATCCAGTGAGAGATTTGTGGTATTCACAGGCTTTTATAGACTCTTGTTTCTGCCATGTTTATTCCCCAGAAGGTCTGTATTTAAATTATTGAATAAAAGAAAAGCAAACTTCCTGTGTCTGGTAAGTCCCTTCTTCCTTCCCTAAGCTACACAATTCATCACTCTCATCGCCCTGGTTTTTTCTTCCCTTTAAAGGCCTAAGAATTTTGAATTTGTGGTTTTCTTTTGGTATTTCGTCCTCCATTTTCCCTAAGAAGTCTTCATTTTTACAGATAATCTGGCATTCAGAAGGAGGATTTTCATGGAAAAAAGGAAGTCTGTGGTAATAAAGCTAGCCCAGAGGAAGGGGTAACATTGCTTTCATGAGTCAGCTTAAAATGTGAGGTTTATGCTGATTACATCAGTGTGGGCAAGATCCCTGTGCCACAGGTTCATTAACATCAGATAGAGCTTCAATCCAAAGTAAAAAATGGGAATATCTTACTCCTCCAAAACTTAAGAAAGGACTATTATCTTGAGCAATGGGACAATTCCATAGGTTACTACAGTAAAATTCACACCCATACCTCTACATTTAGAAACTGTTCCTTCACCTTTCTGAGCAATGCAGGTGGATGGTACTGACTTCAAATATGGGAAATACTTGCGTAATGGCCCATTGCCCTGGTGGATTTCTTGACCTTTAATATTCAGACTCTCTGCCTCCAAGCACTTTCTTTTCTCATATCTGTACATAATGTCGATATGGTAGACTTAGAAGCTGGCACTTGATGAGACACAAAATTTGGAAGAAAAAAGATAAACTGTGCAGTTGCATGTTGCCCAGAAGCAGGGAAAGGCACGCAGCCAAATTCCTGCAGTGCCTTGTATCACCACATGACGTTGCTTGGATATCAGCTTATCAACAGACTGAGTTCCTACTGCCACCTTCACATGAAGAAAGAGACCTTGCAAGGAAACAACACTGACCACCAATACCAGCTTTTAAAAAGAGGAAGATCACAATACAGGGTAAGTCCTTTAAGCAGATTTCTCCTTTTTGTTTCAGACAAAAGATATTTGGTTGATTTGTCCTCCTTGAATTCTCCTTGCACTTTAATCAAACTTTACCAGGTATAGTCCACTCAAGCAGGTTAAGATGGACTGCCTGAGCAATAGCCCAAGAAAAGCACCCATGAGTTGTTGCCACAAGAAAGATCGTCAGTCACTTCCTTGTGCTATTTGAGGAAAGAAGAAATCCTTCTAGCTTTGAAGTATATTTATGCTCTGCTCTATAGATCTGGAAAATGGGAGGAGGGATACTGAGATGATCTGAGTACAGGATAGAGTGCTGGCTTCTATCACAGAGAATATTAAAAGAGTATATCTTCGTTGCTATAGCTTCTGAAGTGCACATTGAGGGAAAGCTGTGGTAAATAAAATATTTATAGTTTAATTTATAAGTTTTATCACGGAAACAGGACACAAAGAGATGTTGACTGATGTTTTCCTAATAAATTTCTCTTCTGGAAGATCTGAGCCTTTGCTTTGTGATCTCAGAAGCAGAGATTCCTCCCATGTTAAAATATGTCTACAGTGTGTGCATGTGGGTGCTCTTGCGTGTGCACGTGTGTGAGCATATAAGTGGAGAGGAGAGGGAGAGAAGGAGCTCACACATAAAGTGAGAGCTTTCTAGAGCCATGATCTCAGTTAATCAAACAACCCAATGGGGTAGGTTTGGCAAGGACGAAGGTGTGAGCAGAGGGGAAAACGTTTGGAATTCTCACTTTATTCCTTGGCAACCCTAGTCTAATACATCCACTATCATTTGACTATGTTTTATATTATTATAAACATCTCAGATTCCAAACCCTACACTATATAGTAAGGAAAAAAGACTTACTCATAGCAGCTGTGACTCCTTCATTTTCTCAGGCAAGTGGCAAGAAATACAGCTAAATTTAACAGCTTCTTTTATAGTACACTGCTGCTAAATTACAAATTGAAATGTGCAAGACATGGAGAATAATGTAAAGGAATACTAGACTGTCACTAAAAATCATATTTTTTAAGGGATATTCCATGAGTTGGGAAAGGGCACAACATATAGAGTATGGTCTCTCTTTTTGAAAATCACACAAAATGTACACAGAAAAAATAAAGAGTAAAAGGAAATCAATCAAATGTCACCAATAGTTATGGACAGTTAGATTATGGATAATCATATTTTCTTCTCCAATTTTTAGATTTTTTCCAAATTTTCAAAAATGACATATATTACTTTTATAATCAGATAATGTAATAACTATTATTTAAAATGATCAAGAAATAACTTGTGACCTGATGTGGTTCTATAGTCCACCTGTTGCAAAACCCAAGATAAAGCAGAAAGACAAAGAACTCTCAATTATTTTTTCCATCAACAGGAGGTGAGAATAGGGCAAACTGCAGAACCAAGCAGTCTGCTGAGATCCAATTACTTAGAAACATGTGAGAAAACTTTTTATCCCTTGACATAAATAACATTTATTTATGTATTTATTTATTTACTTGCTTACTTACTTTACTTGCTTGCTTACTTATTTACTTAGGTCCATTCCCAAAACAGGATGAACAACATGAAATTTCATGCTATGCTTTATTGTTCCTTGGAGGTATAGGATAAAGAATGGGAGAAAAACAGAAAAGACAACAAAAACTTTGGAATGTTCCACGGATTCCTTGCATTCGGGTCCCTTCCACTGCGTACACCCACAATGCTTCCTTAATGAAGGTATAGTGGGTCATTGGCTAATGGAGGGAACTTGTGTGTCTCTCCCTCAAAAAGACCTCAAGGCTTGAGGTCTTTTTCTCCTGTCTCTGTTTATCCAGCTTTAGGTAACATCGGGCCCAACACAGGGCATGTTGATGGCAGGCATGGTGAATGAATGAGCAATTGGATGGTCCGGTCCTATACCCATCCCATTTCAGGAGCTCTGTAGATGGTCTCATCTTCATTGCTGAAGCTCAGTATTGACCACAGTGTGGTTCCCTGCTAGAGAGCTATGGTAGCTCCTTTCAGTCATAGTTATTTAAAGTCATTCTCATTAATACTTTTTGCAAAAATTTCAGTTCTCTTCTATCCCCTCAAGGAAGGATAAACAACGGGGTAAGAATATTAGGACTATGATTTAAGAAGTTTAGATCTCTGCTAAGGAAAAGCCATAGACTGCTTTTTTTCTCTGTAAAATAAAACCATAACTTTTAAGATTTTATCTTATATAATGGAAACTCTCATTGCCCTTTGGAGCTTTGCTTTTGAAACTGACTTGCTATTTTCATATTATATTGTTCTCCATCATTTGAAAAGGCTTAATTAAGAATCAATTATCTTCTTCAAAGATTTTCTTTTGAAACTTCTAATTCAGAAACTGTAAAGTTCAAATGATGCCTCAAATCGTGAAGTATTTGGCTTTCCTACTTTCACTCTGGATATATTTTTGATACCAAGCTTAAGGTCTCTAGACATCAAAAAAAAGAAAAAAATCTGACTCACAGGTTTCAACTCCACCCAAAATTTCTAACAGATAAAAGCCACTTTACTGTTATATATAATTAACTTAAATTTAGTTTCCATTACAATGGTTATCAACTACTTTTGAAACTTCTATCACTGTTTTGAATTTTTTGGCCTAGGGTGAACTTATTTCACCTTGGTTTTTCTAGATACTGAGGCCAGTATCATTATAAGCACTGATAACAGATTAGGTAGGTAACAGTAATTGTGGTCCAAGTCCTTCTTGTTCCTCCTTTGCACTGCATGGCAGCCTTCTAAATGCTCTCCCTACCAATGGCCTGTCTTCCCATAAGCTCATTCACCATGGTGGGCCAGAGTGATCTTTCTAAAACTCAGATCTTCTCACCTTCAAGTATGGCATTTCAGGCTGGATAATTCTTTGTTGTGAGGGACTGGGAGGTTGTCAAGCGCACTGTGGGATGTTCAGCTGAGCTCCTGGTCTCTGTCGACTGCCAGTAGCATCCATCTTCCATTTCAGCATTTATGACAACTGAAAATGTCTTCCCACATTGCCAAATGTTCTTAGTGGTCAAAATCACTCCAGTTGAGAACCACTGACTTAAATAAAGACCTTCAGTGGTTCCTCACATTAAAGGTAATCTTTTAACTCTTTTTTAATTATAATTTTTAAAATTTGCATCTAAACATTGCCTGTAAGGCTTCCATGATCTTCCCCTGCCTGCCTCTACAGCCTTCCCCAACTCAGACCCTATATTCTGCTTGAAGTAGGAAAAAAAAAAAAAAAAAAAAAGTCTAGTTCCTAATATATCCAGACATTTTGTGCCCCATGTGAAAATCATACTATGTTCTCCCTTCTCCCATTAATTAGCCTTTCTTTTTCTTCTATCACAGTGGTTTTCAAATTTTGTTGTCTTTGTATCAGAATCACCTAGAGAGTTTGTTAAAACCCAGAGCGCTGGGCCCCACTCCCCAGAGTTTAGGATTCTATAGATCTAGGATGGGGCCTAAGAATTTGCATTTGTAACATGTTTCCAGGTGAGGCCGATGCCCTTCGAGAACCAGTATTCTAGTTCCTTGTCACTCTTAAGACTCAGATGTTTTGGTCACCTCATTGACAAAGTCTTCCTTGACTGCTGCAGGAGACTTTGTTTTCCTTTTCTGTTTTTGTAGCACTTTTAAAATAACAATGTTGAACCTTTATCACGTTACCCAACTGCTCATCCAGCCATCTCCCCTGCCTACTGACAACTCTTGATAGAAAGTTCTCTTGTCCCCATTCACTGGCCTGGCCTATGTCAGGCCAATGTGCAGATTCTCACAGCCTACCTTCCTCAACAAGGATCATTATAGAGGAATAAAAGTATAAAATGTTGGAAATTCTTTGATCCCTTTTAGCCCAAATCTTTGACCTACTTGCCTAGAATCTTTATTTACCCAGTTTCACTAACACACAGACCAACGGAAGTTGTTAAGTAAATTAGGGTGAGACATGACCCAATTGTTGTTTTCCGGTTGTTAAATGTATATATATATAAAATTGTTAAACATATATGTGTGTGTGTGTGTATATATATATATATATATATATATATCTTACTTTCAGCTTTGAATCCATCACACTCTTCACCCTATAGACCTCCACTAACTCATCAAAATCACCTGTTCTGCTTTGATAGGACCTGACCCAAGGGCAGCAACGCTACCTTCACAGCATCATGAGGATTTACAATTCCAGGCCCCAGTGGGAGGCCCTGCGGAACCGTTATATTCACAGCCTTCAGCACCAGCAGCTGCTTGGTGAGTTTTAACTACCCGACCTAAACCAGACACCCTTGGGAGGGCCTCGTGTGCTACAGCCGGAAGTCACGTTTCCCAATAAATAATTCAAGTAGGATGGCCTCTGCCAGCGCGCTATTTTATAACATGGTTGGCAGGCCATGTTTAAAAATGATTATCCCTGACAATAGAAAACAAGGTTTTATGGGTAAATTAAGAGGGTTTCACGAAATCAGAGTACAGATTGCCGTAAAATGTCAACAACTGTCTGAGATTTACAGGAACTCGATCTAGTAGAAATGGCAATGGGCTTAGGCAGATGGTCTAGGCTCAAACCACAGCTCAGCCCCTTGCTGGATATGCAAATTCAGAGGCTTGCTTTACTCATGACAATAACAGTTACACTTATTAAGCATTTACCACATTCCAGATATTGTGCCGGGAGCTCTACACTCAACATCTCATTTTCCCAGACCCAATGTCAGGGCCACTGCCAGCAAAGAGCATACGTTTTCACCCCCATGCTCTGACATCTCTCTTCTAGTAACCTCGTGGGATTTTACAAAGTACAAATGAAATAATGGTTGCAAAAGACCGTTACAGACTTTAAGAGACAACCTTCAGAGGTGTGATTTTTGTTAAGTCCCTTTTCTTCCAGGAAATGTTTTCAGTCTCCAGCTGGCCTCTATTACACTCTTCTGACCCCGGCAGAGCTTTCTTTTTATAAGCAGCTCACTTCACATTAACACATCTACCTTACATTGCTGTTCCTGCCTTCGCACCAAAGGAAGACATGGTTTTTGCCAATGACTGAGGAACATGAGCAGTAACGACAGATTCCTGTTATTAGGCCTCCCTTTGTGCTTAGCACAGTTCTAAGCACTTTGCATATATTGCCTTACCTCAAACTCAAGACACCTCTATATGGTAGGTGCCTTTATAATGAACATTTTACAGAAGAGAAAATTGAGGCATGGATAAGAAATCGTTTGACCAGGATCATGCGACTAGTAAAGGGCAGAGCCAGGATGCAGCCTGCTCCCCAGGATGGCCTGAATTCCTGCAGAAGCATCACCTACTAGCTTTGTTGGTAGAGTAAAACTGCATAGAGGCCAGTGAAACCACAGCCAGGATCGTCAGTATTTAGTGCACATAAAATCTACCTGCCTACGTTATCAACATGCAGATTACAGGCCAAACTCTGAGTGTCTGATTAGGAAAGTCTTTGGAGTAGAGCCAGAAATCTGAAATTTTAAAAAGCACTATTAAATGTGGTCTCAGCCTGATCAATCTGTAGTGGGTGGTCTGCAGGCTACACTTTAAAAACCCTGACGGAGATTGAATACCTCTGTTTCCGGTTTGAAGAAAGTTTTCAAAACAAAGATACACATGCAATGCAGGCTCAGATTACTCAAGGCCTAACTACCTCCCCGAGTGATTTGTCATGTTAATCAATGACTAGGTATTTATTAACTTACTGAATGAAAAATGCAAAAAAAGAAAAGTCTACTGCCCATCCTCAAAGATCATACAATCTGGGTGTGCTAAACATAACTGTCACTACCCTGCAAAGTAGAAAAAATTTTATGAATCCATAAATATTTGCAGGGTTGTTTGCTTATTTGTTTTGTAAGCCTGTTGACTTGGAACTTCTTCTCATTTCTCTCCCCTTAGGCTATATTACTCAACAGGAAGCCTTGGCTTGTGCCGCTGTACTTAGAGATTCAACCAAGAGAGCCTCAGCTAAGGTGGCTCCTCAAAGATCCATCCCCCAGAAGCCTTCAACCATGACAAGAACGTGGCTGCCAGCCCTACCTGGGTCTGTGGTTCGACCCAGGGCTCAAAGGGCAGGGCCTGCATCCATCAGGAATTGAGACTTCACTGAACAAGCTCTGAAACAGGTAATTTGCCCATGTACCCCCAAATCTAGTGGGTGCTAAGTGCATATTCCTTGTATGAGAATGAAAAAAAATAACTTCTAACACACACCCTATACCTAGAAATAATCTCTTTCCCACTCCCATAAATTCTACCAGCAAGAATATGTTGGGGGGTTTAAGAGCAATGGAACTAAGTGTAAACACGCCTTCCACTCCACACATAATCCGTGGAGTGAAATGACTTTTGAAGCTTTCAAAGTAAATTTGAAATAATTCCTTTGAATTATTTGAATTATAAATTCTATTACAAATTCTATATTTAAATTATATTTAAATATATTTAAAATCTATTCATATTTTTATTTATTTATATTTTATTTATCATATAAATTATATAATTTATGACATATATAAGTTATACAATTTACTTTATATTATAATAAATTTTATCACTTATTTATATTTATTTATTCTGGATTATATTATTTATTTATATTATATATTCATATAATTTTATATAAATTTATATATAAGATATATACATATATTTAAATTATATATAAATACTATATTTATATAGAAATATATTTAGATTATATATAAATACTATATTTATATATAAATTATATATATATGTAATATATATATAGTTATAAATTATAAAATTCAAATAATTCCTTTGAATTAGAACCTCTCAGACAAATCTCAAGAACAGTGAAAATGCAAAAGTCATCAGAGGCGGCCAGGTCCCCAGACACTGGGTAACTATGGAAGCCACCCACTGCAGATTTTGAAAATACACAAACCAACACCAAGTTAATACTAAGTAGGCAGGGTTTCCAGAGTCCTGTCATCGCAGCAGCAACTGGCCTGTGCATTTCCATGTACTCCTTCCTCTCTTCTTTCCCATCAAGCAATAGCATTTAACTTGGCCCCAAATCTTCTGGTTCTTGCCTGACTCCATCCCTTTGTGTCTTCTTAAAACTTGGACTTCATCAACTTGCCACAGCTGGGTTCATTCTACAGGGCTATAGTTGACCTTAACCCAGGTGAGAGAATTCAGGCACACATCTTCCCCTGGTAACTAAAGATATACTCTGAGCAGAACAAGAAATAGCCCTTAATGAATGGGTCTCAACTCTACCCTTGCCATGGCCTCCTTGGTTTTAAGCAAGCACAGAAGACGAGACATATAAGTAAAAAAAAAAAAAAAATGAGATAATGATTCAAAACAACATATAATGGTATAGTGTGGTATTAGTTATATTTAATAGTTATTTTCATCACTAGTGATTTTGTGTGTGTGGAATGTCAGTCACTGCTACCAGTGTTCACAAAAAGTCAAAATTTTTAAAATGCCTTTTCTTTATCTTTAGTCTAAATGTTCAGCCTCCTTCCTTCATTTAAATCAGCCAATGACTCTTTCATGCCCCTAAAAGGAGTTGCCTGAGATGGAATTACAGACTTGCTTGACAAGGGATGTGCGGACATTGATCTGGAAGGAAGATGCTATACCATTACAAGATAAAGAAAAAAAAAAAACAAACCTCATTAATGATGATGTTTATCTTTTCTCTGTAATCATTCATAAAGAATAAAGTTTCTTGACCTCTGTATGTCCTGGTCCTGATTCATATACTCTATGGAGCTTTTCAGTTCTAAGTTAAGAATCATTAGGTAGGCTTAAAAGAAGAAAAACAATAATGGAACTACAGGGAGCTATAGGGTAGCCTTCCTGAGGGACTGAAGTTCGTGGCAGATTTCACCTGGCCTGTACTGGTTCTTCCATTGCTTCCATAATGGCCCTTTTATTCCCATGAACTTCTTACATGCACTTTTTAAAATTGAGGTTTAGTTGACACACAACATTACACTAGTTTCAAGTGTACAACACAGTGATTCAACAACTCTAAACATTATGCCAGGCATGCACTTTTACCTTAGATTTTTTTTTTTTTTTGATGGGCATGGATATTTGCTGTGTAAGCCTTAACTAGTGATGCAGAATATTAAGGAGGGCACTTAAAATTCTGAGCTGCATTCCTGCATCAAAAATCTCAGAAGCACCTTATTTCCAATAGAGGCTTCTAAGAGCTAATTGGCAAGTGAATGTCAGAGGCCCATGAAAAGGACAAATCTAAGTTAGTGTAGAAGGTCCCACTTGTTGGTTCTCCCAACAGAAAGATAATGCCCTCCCTCTTGAGCCCTACACCCAAAGCCTATGAGGAATATGGCTATTTATGGTTCTAGAAGAAAGGCATTCACCTGAGATGACCTGAGAAAAACAAAGGCGAATAGAGGACAATCTGTAATACCAGCTTTGCTTATCCATTCCCTAGTTGATGAACAATTGAATTATTTCTAGTTTTGGACTATTACAAGTAAAATGCTGTAAATATTTTCATGTAAGCCTCTGTGCGCACAGAAGTTTTTGTTTCTCTTGAATAGCTATCTAGGAGTATAATTACTAGGTCACATGACAGACTAAGGTTTAACTTTATAGGATAGTGTCAGGGTGTTTTCCTAAGTAAACACCCCACTTTGCATTCCCACTAGCAATGTATACAAAGTTCAAGTTGTTCCACATCCTTGCAATGTCAGACATTTTAATTTTCATATTCTAGTGGCTATGGCTGCTGGCTGAAGATATTATCACTATTAAATACAGTCACCTTCTTACTTGGAACCATGGCAAATTTCAGGGAAGGAGTTTATCGTAGGCAAGAAGGTGGTGATGGCAATAATCTTGGGCATTTAATAGAAGAAATTTCAAAGTTTAACAGTTAATACAGATAAAGCAACTCCTCAGCGTTTCCCCCCCTCCTTGGGGAAGCAAAGGGTTGGAGGAGGTAAGGAAGAAGAAAAAGAAGCAACTCCTTCGGAAGCACCATCCCTGGCCCAAACTGTCTAAAACACACAGAACTGGGCTCAGTGTGTCCTCAGCACCTTCTCACTTTTCCTTGTTCACGTTGTTCTTCAGGTTCAGCAACCAATACTCCACCACCACCACGATCTTTCCACACTATGTTACTTATTTATTGCTGCATAAAACATTACGCTAAAACAGTGACTTAAGACAACCATACTGATGATCTCACAGTTTCCGTGGTCAGGAATCTAGGCAAGGCTTACCTGGAGCTTCGGGTTCAGGGTCTCCCGCAGACTGCAATCAAGGTGTTGGCTGAGGCTGTGGTCGTATGTGAGGTCGTATCCTCAACCGGGGACGGATCTGCCAGCTGATGTCTGGAGTCATCCTCTGTCCCTGCCACATAGGTCTCACTGTAAGGCAGAAATGTCAATAAGCCTCAGTAAGTCACAAATGGCAACTTGTTTCATCAGAGTTAAAAAAAAAAAAAAAGTGAGAGAGACGGGATGGGGAGAGGTATAAGTTAGAAGTCACAGTCTCTTATAACCTAGTCTTGGAAGTGGCATCCCATCACCTTTGCTCTAGTCTACTCATTAGACCCAAGTTACTAGGTTCAGTCCACACACAAGAGTCAATGATTACACAAGGGCATGAACCCCAAAGGTGGGATCATCGGCAGCCGTTTCTGAAGCTATCTGCCAAAGCCAGGACTAGGGTGAGGTGAGTAAGGTGCCTAGGATGCAAAATGGAAGGATAACACTTATTCTTAGATGAGCCCCCATACACACCAATCCAACTTCAATCTTCGCCCTGCTGCCTGCCACATGCACTGAGCACACCTATGCTGGCTTCTGATCACCCACTCAGGGCTCCCTGCCCAGACTCCTAGCCTGAGCCTGTTTTCTCAGACAACCAACCCATGCTTCATACTTTCTTCTTGCCATGACCCTCTCTTGAGACTGAGCTGATTTGTGTTCCAATATTCCAACATGCTGTTGAAGAAAAAATGATTTCAGATAAGCCTAAGACATATAATAATTGATACCTTGTTCACAGGTAATCTCTAGATGTAGAGCACTATTTATCAAAAATGCAATTCATATACCCCATTCACTGAAAATGCTTAAGGAAATGTAAGTTCTTGCGTCCTATCCTAGACCCAGTGAATCAGAATCAGAAGAATGGCATCCCAGGTGTTTCTTACGTTTACTAAAGTATGATAACATGTAAGAAGGGACTTCAGTAGCCAGAATGCTTTAGGCCTAATATAACAAAATGAATTTCTGTTTGGCCAACTTGCTGAAAATTAGGGACACAGACTGCATGATAAGAGTGGCTTTGGGACACACCTATACCCCTGAAACAAATAATACATTATATGTTAATTAACTGAATTTACATTTTAAAAAAGAGTGGCTTTGAGGATAGAGAAAGTATCTCCTTAATAACCTTCAATAACTAGTATAAATGAAATGTCAATTATTCTTATTCAAAGCCAGGTCAAACCAATGGCATACTATAACAGAATTTGAATCTACTAAAGTGGTTTATGTTTCCTAGATTTGGTATTACTAAATATGCATTACCCTTCCACCAAGATGACTACTGACTTGGTTTTCCCTCCCATCTCCTATTTTCTGATGGCCATAGAATAGGGCCAAGAGTTCCTGCACCTTTTCAATTAAAATGAGTTGCTAATTGCATCAGTGCTTATAGAGGAAACTAGTATATTGGCCTCATTGACTCTGCTTTACCCCTTAAATTACAGTCCTGTTGCCTGAAATGTAATCAATCCCTCTGTCCAAAATCAATCCCTTGTCTGCCTCCAAAGAATTGTCGCTCATTTTTCTCCACATTAGGGCTATCATCCTGTGCCAGTTACACAATGGGTTCCGTCAGGTCAGAAGGAGAGGAAATTCCAGTAGCTATTGGAAATCACAGCTTAGGAACAGGGTCAGAGGCAATTACCCAACTGTAAGTAAGCCAAACACTCAGTTTCATGGTGGGAGCTCCCAGCATCCTCCTGGCTCATGGGGTGTGGTTCCCTGAGGGGAAATGAGTAGCTGTTTATAAACTGAGGGTTCCATGAAAGACACCTTCTTTAATATAATGAGCCCAGAAGGATGAT